ATACATTCTGGGGTTAGTCCTTCCTCCCTGAGAATAAATGTGAATTCTTATTGAAATGCAAGTAGGGTATACTTGAAGCACCAGGTTTTCCTTTATGATTCTTAACCGTGGCTGTGTCTTGTCCTCCATAGCCTTCCCCCAGGAGGCAGGCTCTCAGAGGTGCACTGGCAATTCTTCTGTCACTTGTCATTCAATCTTAAGGACATTCCTTCAAATACTTGAAGAAATCATTATGGCATAAAATCTACTTTTCCTTTTGCTAATACTTGTCTGCATTTTCTCTGCAACTCGAGAGTGAGAATAAAACTCCAACATGGACAAAATGTTATAGAAAATAAAAGACCCCCCCCCTTCACATGAGAAGTGTTGAATATACACAAAAATAGAGACCAGACTAACATGCTCCTGGTGCCCATCACTCAAATTCAACAGGGCTCCACACTTTCCCTATCTTATTCATCTTTTACCCTTACTGCTGTTGTTTTCTCTAATAATATCAAACACATCCCACCATCATATTCATTTCACTTATAAATACATCAACATTACTGTCAGATTAAGATTAAAGAAAAGTCTTGTGGGTTGAACCCAGGCACACTTCACCACCGAGCCACATCCCCAGTCTTTTTTTATTTTTTGTTTTGAGACAGGGTCTCACAAAGTTGTGTAGGTTTCACTAAGTTGCTGAGGCTGGCCTGGAACTTGTGATCTTTCTGCCTCAGACCTCCCAAGCGGCTGGGATTTCTTAGATAAAGTTTTATTGTTATAAAGAACATAGAAAAGAACACTTTGCTAGCTCAGCGTTTCATGTCAACATTGTACACGGGCGAGACTCCTTTCTGCCACTTGTCTTGCCTTCCCACTTGTTGAATTAGGGATAACCTTGCCATCAGGCAGCAGCCCCTTGGCACACCGGAAGTCTCTCTGGCTCACCAGCAGGCATTGATCTAAGAGACAGTAAACTATTTTTTTCTGTTAAGCTGCTTAAGGCATTTTGAATCGCTTCCCTTTCTCTCAAGAAAAGAAATGAAAACCAAGCACCCAGACCCTTTGCTGGTCCGAGGGCTCCCTGTGGGTTCACCCATTCTAGGCAAGGCCTGATGCAGCTTTAGTGGCCCTGCTCGGCTGTGGTGGGCCACTGATGAAGGGCACAGGGTGGAGATGAGTTGCTGAACAGCATGCTGACTGCCTGGTCACCTAAGATGATTAGATTCCTTGCAGAATCAATTTCCTTAATGAATGAATTGGCTACTGTCAGTTAGCGTGGGTCCTTTGTTCAAAGCTCTTTTGAAGAAGGTGCCATTTAGATGTATTCTCTGTAATTGACAGGCCATCCTTGGTTAATGGCTGCTGTGGGTTCATGTTTTTTGAAAAGGATACCCGAGGGGCCTGGAGATGTGGCTCGGTGGTGGAGCTCTTATCTGGCATGCATTAGGCCCTGAGTTCAGTCCTTAGTGCTGAAACAAGCAAACAAAAACAAACAAACAAAAAACCCAAAAACAAAAATAACCCCACCACCATGGACGACCAGTTACCCTAAAACCTGCAATAATGGTAGCAATAATCATACTTTCACTTTGAACTATGATATATTTTGCTCTGTAATTCTCCTAAAACAAACTCCCTGTGAAGAGTAGGCAGATCTCTAAGTGAGAATTAAACAGGAGAAGACCAACCGTTTCAGCAGAGTGTGATGTTTTTGATGCTTTTTTATAAAATGAGGTACTGGGGTTGAACCTAGGACTTCACACATACTCGGCAAGTGATCTGTCCCTGAACTACACCCCCAGCCCAAGTGCGATGATTTTGATGCCAAGGCACACAGGGAATTATGGGGACACAGTGGGGGCATCTGGCGTAGTGGAGTACGATGGTAGAGGAAGACTTTGGAGAAGGGGTGGAAGTTGGGGGTGAATGGGGTGCAGGGGTTTTCTGGTGAATAGCACAGAGTGGCTGTGGGGAAGGGTGGAGTCTGTCAGCACAGGATGAGAACTGAGGCTAACGTGAGGTCAGAGTTTCCTCCTGGATAGTTCTCAGAGGAAGTGGACTGGGACCCTTCATTCCCTAAGCCCTTCCTCTGGCCTGTCTTTGTCCCTTTGCCAGAGTGGACAGAGGGCCCCGTGCCTTGGTTTGGCAATGGAAAGCCCCCCTTCCGTGTCTGTCTGAACCATCTAGCCTGATGAAGGTGTCCTTTCTGTGAAAACGGTGGAAAAAGGAGAAAGGGCAACAAGAATCCAGTCCTTAGGGCTCAGAGGTGCTTGGGTCCAAGGTTCGTTAATTCCAGTCTGACTGGAGCCCCGAGACAAACAGCCTAAAGGGCCACTCTGTGTACTACTCTAATGCTATCCACACCCAATAAGTGCCATGTGGAGAGAGGTACGGCTGGGCTCTGCCAGGCGACTCCTTGTGAGACACCACCAGAAACCACTTACTGAAGGCACAATTGCTCCCTTGAGGAGAGAGTTCACTTCGATCCAGTCCCTTGACCTCACACTGATGGTGTGGTCTGCAGTGGCTCACCTGAGGGTACTCATAACGCTCTGAAGAGCAGATTCCAAGCCTCTGTAGGGTGTTGAGTGTGAGCTGCAATGTCCTCCCTGACCCCCAGCTCCGTGTTTGGCCATCTGCTGAAGGCTGTGCTGGTCATCAAGGTTTAGCATTCATCTTACTGCAACCAATAACGCAGTGGCTTAAGTTCTCATGGTCACCGTGGCAGGCTTCTGTGGCTTCAGTCTTAATAGAACCTCCAAGAAAGCTAATGTCATCTAAAGGACTTAACAGTGTGGGAAACTGAGGCCTTCAAAACTGACTCGGTGTGCCACTCGGTGTCACTAGGCTAATGAGTGAAGGCCCTTTGACTGAACAGAGCCCTTTTTCCCGTTTGGTGCTTTGGAGTCTCTGGGTGGCAAAGCTCAGACAGGAATCTCTTGGTTCCCATAGTATTTTATTTGTATGCTATAAGAAGAAACTTCTCTCTCTTTTGTAGCCAGGTCTGGGAAGAAGGTACACCGAGCACCCTTTGATGGAGAAGCATTTCTAGTGCTGCTTCAAGTTTCACATTTTAATTAGTAATTGTTTACATTTAGTAATCATTATTTAACAATGTTACTAATAATGACACTTAGCGTTTGCTGTGTGTTTACTATGTACACACAGGTGTTTGCATGATATGCTGCACTAAGATTTTATTATACCTTTAGGCATGCTGAATACTCTCGACAACCCTGTGATGTGGATATTTCTGCACTGCTTTTACAGAAGAGGATACCGAGGCTAGGAAACTCTTCTGAGGTTGCCACACACGTGGCAGCTCAGGTTCAATTCCAAGGCTACCTGACTTTTAAGCTCCTATAATTAATATTATGCCTCCTTAACATCCTTTCACAGGTAGTCACTCAGGAAATCTGGCTTTAGCTTAATTAATCTATTAAGAAGATTTTATTTAAATAACCAGAAGTTTGACACATGCACGTTTTAAAAAAAAATTCCAGTCTGCTGCATTGGGGTCAAAGGAAAATTTAAAATGCGTCCCCCCTCCCCCCTTTCAGTGCTGGTCACAGAACCCAGGGCCTCACACATGCTAGGCAAGCACTGTACCACTGAGCCACATCCGCAGCCCCTAAAGATGTCTTAAGACGTTTGGCTCTGGACTAAGTCACATGTGTATATTTAAGTTGTTCTGAGGTCTAAGGAGCTAACGTCTGAGACCTTGGAACCCATACCTCAAAAGTCTGGTGGCAAATGGGTATTCAGGACCACTGTGCATAAAAGCCACCCATGAACGTCTTCAGAAAGGGCCCAGCTGAACATGTGGTATCCCAGCTCCTATGCTGTGGCCATTCAAGAGTTGACATTTCAAATGAATAGTTTAAAAAAACATGAATTCAGGAAAATCACGTGTATTATGTATTGACTAACTCATTTGCAAATTCTATTATGTATAATTAAATAGATAGAAACTGAATTGACAAGGATAAAAGTATTTTGGAAGGGAACTTCAGGGTTTCAAGGAGTGATTTTTGAATATTGTCTTGCTGTGAAGATGACTGATGGGGAGGGTTGTAAGGCCAGACTGCAACAACAACCTTATCTCTGAATTTTGATCTGTGAGACCTTTCCTGTGTCTGAAATGCTGGTCTGGCCTTGTGATAATGTGCCTGGCAGATGGGACACTGTCTCCAAGACTGAGCTCATTGCTAGGAGCTCTCTCACCTGCAAGCAAATGAGAGTTTATTTGGTCCTTTCATGAAATTCAGATTGTGTCCTTCACTTTTGCAGCCCTGTTTGACAGGCACTAAATAAAGTAATTTTGTTTAACCAGGGACGTCATAGAATTCCTAATGGCCGTCCAAAAAGATTGGAGTGTACGTGTGGGGAAAAGTTTGTAGAAATCTGAAAACATGAGAATGTTGAAGAAAGAACTAATTTAATTCTCACAACATCTCTGAAAAATGGTTCCTAAATTTATCACATTCTTACAGACGTGTAAACTGAGGCTCAGAGTTCAGGCAACATGCTAAAAAAGCCAAGTCCTTGTGGAGATAATGGAGCCTGATTTCTGGTGCAGAAAACTCCAGTGACATTTTATTCCATCTGCAGCCAGTTTTGGGGAAAGTCTCAAGGGGAAAACTACAGCAAATTGTTAGATTTCTAGTGATTTTTTTTTTTGGGGGGGATACTGGGGATTGAACTCAGGGCACTTAACTGCTGAACCACATCCTCACCCCCCACCCTTTTTGGGGGGTGGAGGTGGGGGGACAGGGTCTTGCTAAGTTGCTTAGGGACTCACTAAATTGCTGAGGCTGGCTTTGAACTTGCAATACTCCTGCCTCAGCCTCCGGAACTGCTGGGATTACAGGTGTACGCCACCACCCCCGGCTTCTAGTGATTTATTTTTTCTTGTCTCAACTTGAACTCCCACCTAGCCAAGGACTGGATGATTAACCAATGAAGCAAATGCACTTAGCGTCCATTGCTCATCACAGTTCTCTTTCTTGCAGTTCCCAAAGGGTCTGGAATCCACCAGAAACCGAAGCCAGGGAGAGCGTGCTTGCCTTGGTCACTGCGCGGAGCAGCCACCTGCTTGGGAGCGCGGCATTCACACACCAGGTTGCTATTGAGGCTTTTACATGTGGTGCTCAGAGCAGTTGCTTGGGCTTCCATCACTAGGCTGATGTTAAAGATACAATCAGCTTCTGCTTCTTGATCAGGAGGCCTTGTGGGTGCCAGTGTAGAGGGAGAACAGGTCTTATCTGACTTAGCTGAGGGGGAAGTGGGGTTGGATGGTGGGGTTGGACGGTGGGGTTGGGAAGTTGCCCTGAGATGAGCCTCCCCCCCCCACCCCGCATTCCATCAGCTTGCCATTCAGAAAGCTCCCGGTCATCATAACACACAAAAAAGACTCAATTTCCCTCCTTCTCTTTCTGTTCTAGTTGGAGACTAGGCTTGGGAAGTTTTCCACGTAGATGGTGCCTCTCTCGTGGATGGACGGGGAGAAATAACATCTGCAGATTGCTGCCAGACACCCTGAGAACACAAGCCCACCTGGTCTTTGGTCCCCTTGCTGAATGGCATTCGCTGCGGTAGCCCACTGAGGGCTACTTTCCTGGGGATTCAGGGTTTGGGCACGGGACTCCAGTCTGGGAAGATGCTCAGTTCCATCAAGTGCGTGTTGGTGGGTGACAGCGCTGTGGGGAAAACCTCCCTGTTGGTGCGTTTCACCTCCGAGACCTTCCCCGAGGCCTATAAGCCCACGGTGTACGAGAACACGGGTGTGGACGTCTTCATGGACGGCATCCAGATCAGCCTGGGCCTCTGGGACACTGCTGGCAATGATGCCTTCAGAAGCATCCGCCCCCTGTCCTACCAGCAGGCCGACGTGGTGCTGATGTGCTATTCCGTGGCCAACCATAACTCGTTCCTGAACTTGAAGAACAAGTGGATTGGTGAAATCAGGAGCAACCTGCCCTGTACCCCAGTGCTGGTGGTAGCCACCCAGACCGACCAGCGGGAAGTGGGGCCCCACAGGGCCTCCTGCATCAATGCCATAGAAGGGAAGAAACTGGCCCAGGATGTGCGAGCCAAGGGCTACCTGGAGTGCTCAGCCCTCAGCAACCGGGGAGTGCAGCAGGTGTTTGAGTGTGCTGTCCGGACTGCCGTCAACCAGGCCAGGCGACGAAACAGAAGGAGGCTCTTCTCCATCGAGTGCAAGATCTTCTAATCCCCAGGACACTTCACCCAACATTCAGGAACACATGCCAAAGAATGATGGGAAGGGGGGAAGCAGGCAAGATGGGAAGGTCGGTGCTGATTCCAGGCACCCCCCAGCAGCCCTTCCTGTTGGATACAGCTGTTGAGACTGGGCCAGTGGATGTTTTCACTAACTACAAAGAACACCTCACACAATATGATCAGAGAAACAAACCCCTTGGGAAGCTGTAATGGATAGTTCATCTTCAATTAAAAAAACTAAAATGTCCTTCATAATTTTGGACAATGAAGTGAGTTTTCCAAGCATTCCATAATTAAAGACACACTTTATTTAAATAATAACAAACCATGCAGCTCTTGTATATAATTAGTTTTCACACTTGGGAAGTCTTTTCCTACTTACTTACAAACTGCTGTATGAATGAAATAACCTCATGGGGCTTCGCCATATGTTTATAGTGTTATTTTTAACACTATAACCTGAATCAGTAGTTCTGTCAAAACCACTTGCCTGCTGGATTTTCCTAGGTAATCGAATTTTAAAATGACCATTAACTGATTCTTGCAATCCATTTTCCACTTACCTGTTATTTAGAGTTGTATATAGAATACGGTTCCATAAACATATTTCCCTACTTGCCTAATGATTTTCCACAGTTACCACCGTATTTCATTGTAATTGTAAAAAAGCATTTCTTATATGCCATCTTACCTTCCACCCAAAGAATCCCAGTTGTGCACTAAGTTTTCCTCAGTCGTCCGTTCCCCAGGTCCCTTGGAAGGGAAATGCTTCCAGCAGGGAATCACACTGCTTCAGACAATGGCAGCAGGACGTGGAACAGGAGTGAGAGCTCATGCTCACTTCAGGGACCTCTGCTCTTTGCCTGTCACTTCTGACATGGTGGCTCTGAGTGGCTGAAGGTCTTGTGAAAGTAGGCAGGCATGAAGTTCTGCTTGGTGGTTCATTTGACAAACTTGTTTTCCAACTCTAAACTGCCTGGCATGACAACATGCTTTATGAATTTTAGGATCTAATTCTGAGTAATTGAGAAAGTGCCTGTATAGGTGTGTGCAAGGAGAAAAGGTAGAATTCATAGCTTTTACTATTTCATGAATATAAATTCTTGAGTGAAAAATCAAAACCAATAAATCCCAAGCACAGCTGTGAAGAAATTGCTCGGGTAATTACTCTTTGTTAAGAGTTACTGGGGATAATACTAAATAAATAGGGATGAACACACACACACACCCCTAAACCCCTATTCTATCTAATAGCTTAAAAGCATGATGTTGTTTATCTGTTAAAACTTTTAATAGAATTCTATGTAACTTGAATAAATTGTGAAGATATATAATTTACTCTACCCAGATATGTCGTTTTCTGCCTCAATCAAATAAAACTGAGAGTCACCTGAACCACATTTAGGGTAGTACTTATTTATGTGCTCATTATTATGGTGCCACAGGCTATTACACATAACAGGTAAGGCAGCAGCTGGGTGAGTGACTATTATTATAGTCACGCTGGCATAGCATTCAGTTGCCTTATTTGGCCAATTCTGTATAGCTATAATCAGAGTTGAAAATCAAATCTGTTCTCATCCCACACTGCTTTCTCCTCCTCTCTCTCCCCTCTCTCTCTCCTCTCACCCACATGCAGTAAAAGGCCTGGGACCTGCGTCTTAGTCTCTGGTGGGAGGGTTGCCTCGATTCTTTGGGATTAAGGATCTGCCTTCAACCCATGTCTCATCCCTCTAGTCCTTGCCTCTGTATCACCTTTGTGTGGTTCCTCCAGCAGAGGAGGAAAGGCAGGCTAGGGAGGGCACAAATGGCTTTGCTGTTATCTAGGCTAGGACACACAGACCAGGCCTGCGCCTACTGCTTGGAGAAGACTCTAGGCTTGAACCCTCCTCAGTGGGAACCTGATAGAAGTTGAGCCAGGCAGTGTCTGTCGTCCCTGCTGGGTTACATGTTCTTGAAGGCAGTGCCACCTCCTATCATCTCTGTGTCCCCAAGGCCTAGCACAGGGAAGGAACAGGAGCTAAATACAGTTGTGTTGAATTGAACTGGAGAAACACAGAATTTGGGCTTTTGTACTATAAAGCAGTTATGAGAAGGAAGCAGACTCTCACCAGCTCGAAGGAGTGAGAGGTGAAAACAGTTCATTTGGGTGGAATCCAGGTTAATGTATGTTCTACATGAGCATATATTTATTTTTGCTGGCCTGCATGAAGGCATATGTTTCTTGCACTTCAATACTTGTGGTACCTTTCTGTAGACTATTGTTATGTCTATTCTTTACTATTCCAAATCAGAAAATTGAATATGCTCTTGTTTACTTTAAATAATTGATTTGAGTGGTCAAGAAACTCATCCTTGTCTCATTCAGTCAGGGCTGCTCTCATGAAATACCACATGTGGTGTGACTTAAACTACAGAAGTTTTTGTCTTATAGTTTGGAGGTGGGGAGTCCAAGATCAGGTGCCAGTATGGCTGGGTTCTAGTGAGGCCCATATTCCTGGTTTGCAGATGGTGATCTTCTTGCTGTGTTCCCACAAGGAGAGGAGAGAGATCATCTCTCCTGTCTCTTCTTATAAGAGCACTAAGGATCCATCTCCTAATGCTATCACATTGGGGATTGGGCTTCCACACATGGATTTGGGGGGAACATAAATATACTATCCATAGCAATGCCATTATATCTTACTTTATAACTGGTTAAATGGGGGCAGTAGAATCTTGTGTCATGGAATTAGACTGAGTGATGAGAAAACCGGGAGCATCCTAATAGTTCAAGTTTCTGGATTGCTTTGGATGTGCTGGGTGCTGTGTTTAACATTTGAATATCATGATCACACCACATGAGTGTAGATGGCTCACATTATAATGAATCTCCTCTTATACAAGGAAACAGAGGCTCAGCATATTAATGAAACAAATCTAAGCCACACTGCAGGTGAGTGGCAGTACCAGGAGTCTCGATCAGGTCTGTGTGGACTCCAAAGCTTTGCTCAAAACCACTGTGCCCCACTTCCTCCCAGAGCAGCCTGACTGAATGACTTTGCCACATCCTATCTCACATAGCTTGAGGCTCCAGCCCCACCAGTCAAGGGGCCTGCGTTTAAAACATTATTTTTAACTTCTGCAGTGCTGGCAATTGAACCTAGGGCCCCACGCATCCTAGACAAGCTACAGGCCTAGCTCTAAAGCATTATCTTTCAATACATATTCCAAGTCTGGTCCCCTTTTATTTTTTTTTTTGGTAGTGAGAATAAGAGCCATCTAAGTCACAGAGCGCCATCATTTGCAAGGGCCCCTATTCCAACCATTGGCTTTTCAGTGTAAATTCATACATTGATGGTGTGTGAATTGGCAGAGATAAATACACCATAATTTAATGCTTTAAAAAGCTTGGGGAATATTTGCTTTTTCTTATCTCACTTCCCCACCCCTCAGGTTTCATTTAATTTCTTTGAGGGAGCAACAGAGGAGAAGAGAGGGTGTGGTTCTTTCCTTTCAAGAATTTCATGCCCAGGAAGGTCCTTTTATCTAGAATGAGACACAGTGGAAGGATTCCAGTTTGGCACATCTGCAGGGTAACGATATGACAGAAGGGACAGGGGATTCATGAGTGTCCCCAGAACCGAGAAGGCAGTATTTTGGGTTGAGACTTATTTGTCCTGAGACTATATCTCTCCTGATACAACAAAGAAACAATCACTGGCCAAGATCTCAACAGTTATTTTTTTTTCAATAAAAGATAAAATGAGCCATGGAAATGACTTGTGATATGAGTTCATGAAGAGAACTTGATTAAGCCTAAAGTCAGCATTAACTTTTTGATAGACTCTAAAGTATGTCCTGACATGGAACTTAATGATAGATATAAAGCCAGACAATTATGATGTATTTAGAGTAAAAAAAGAAAATCTGAGCTGTATGTCTTTCAGTCTCAAATTCTTTTTCTTAAAGCATAAGTACTCTATAAGTATTGTTAATAATAACAATTGTGAAAGTACTTTATATCTGTAAACTATCATGCAGCCAGGAGTGTTATGTCTTTGTTAGATTCCTATGCTGAAACAGAAGCTGAATATTCTAGATGAGGTTGGAACTTTCTAGAACTGGCCAATTGTGGGCCACATGATGGAAACCCAGCAGAAGCAAGTTCTGTTGTAACATTGTTAACAGTGAGATGGCCCATAGGATAATAAAAATATCAACAAATTATGTTCTGTTGCCTGTTGGCTCTGAGCCCTGTGTTAGATGCTCTATAGAGTCACCTCATGCAGAGTTCATAACAGGCTGACAAGGTAGAGATTCTCTTTCTGTTGGTAAGAAACTGAAGATCCCAGTTTTGCTATCTAATTTTGGTATAATTAAACTCGGCCAGCTAAAAATTATATGATTAATTATATTTAGTGTTCATTACACTTGCTAATTTAGCACGATGGGCACACTGTAGGGCAGGGTGACGGATGGCGCTTGCCAGCCTTCCTGTGTGACCTTCCTTTTGTCATTCTTCTCACAATAGTGTCTCAGGTGGTTCTATCCCGTTGTCTTGGCTGGTTTTGGCTTGCTGTTCCACTCCCCATTTCCCTTGTTCACTCTTCGCTGCCCTCCTGTGTGCCTGAGAGGCTCACCCTGTGGACTGAGTGACCCAGGATCTCTTCCTGGCATCCACATGGTATAGCTAACGGGACACTCTGGCCAGAAGTGGGTAAATAGGAGCAAAGAATGGCGGAGTGTTTTTCCCTACACCTCTCCTGCCCTGGTGCTGATTTGGCAATGTGTCTCTCTGCAACTCCAGCTGCTGCTGGGCGGCTTCTATTCCACACCTCCAGCTGGTGCTTGTTTTTGATGCAGCAACATCCCTGATACAGCTCCTTAATGGAGACCTCAACAAGTAGGGCTTTCATTCAGATCTCTTCATTTGAACCACCTAGAACAAATTTGGTTTCTTCCTGAGTGATACACTCGACACATATTAAAAGTCTTCTATATGCTTTGGCATTAAGGGATTACTAAGCCCTATTGAAAGTGTTGGGGTTAACAGTGTGGGTAACTGCTCTTTCCTGTGCCACAAAACCCAAGAAATATCATCACTCTTTACATCTATTTTCTTGGAAGAAAAAGGAGGAAGGGGTTGATTAAGTCTATTTTGAATAAGCAAAAGAATAGATGTATTTAGAGTTAAAAAAAATCTGAGCTGTATGTCTTTCAGTCTCAAATTCTTTTTCTTAAAACATAGGTACTCTATAAGTATTGTTAATAATAATAATTGTGAAAGATGTTCCGGAATAGCAATGTTCAAAAATTTCAGGTCTTCTAATGACACAATTATACTCAAGAAGCTCTGTTGTTATCCATAATATATAAAGAATGACTACAGATCAACAAGAAAAAAGCCCAATTTTAAGACAGATATTTCTAAGAAGAGAAAATATGCATGACCAATGAACAATATAAAATATGTTTAAACTGGATGTGGTGGTGCACCCCTATAATCCCAGTGACTCAGGAGGCTGAGGCAGGAGGATTGCAAGTTCTAGCCTAGCTTGGATAACTTAGTGAGACCCTGTCTCAAAAATAAAAAGGGCTAATGATGTAGCTCAGAGGTAGAGCCCACCCTTGGATTTAATCCCAAATACAACACACACACACACAATGTGTTTAATCATTTTCAAATGACCATATTGGGAAAAGAAATAATAAGTATGACAATACCAAGCATCAATAAGGATATGACATAATAGGAACTCTTATAAACTACTTGTGGGAGCTTAAATTGGTATAACATTTAAGTGTTACTTAGTAGTACTTACTATTCTATACCTCTGACCCAGAATTTCATGCTCTAGAGATACCCTTACATAGATTTCCTGGGAGACATGGGTGAGAATGTTCTTTGTAACATTATAGATAATAGCAAAAACTAGGAATGATGTAATGCCATAAACTAAAATTAATTCAGAATAGCTAAGTGAATTTTGGTGTCTTTGCACAAACTTTGTAACAATGAAAATGAATAAAATATACCTATACATAATCAATGTGAATGAGTACAGATAATATTGTGGACAAAAAAGCAAGTGGCAAAAATAATACATTAGTCTTATTCCGTTTATGTGACGTTCAAATGTGAACAAATCTTAAAGACATAATATTTAGGGTTAAAAAAGGTTTTAAAAGTCCAGGAACAATTAAAAGTCCAGCATTCAAATGAGTAGTTACCTTCTCTGGGGTGGGGTTAGTGTGATGGGCACGGTCACCAATCTTGTGACAGTTATTGGTAATGTTCTACTTCTTGAGTTTGAGAAGTCAGTAATTGGTGTTCATCAACTTTTTCTGTTATTATTTACTACTCAAAAGCATTCTTATATATTTTATATATTTTTAAGTGTATAATGAAGTTCATAAC